TAACAAAGTATTTATACTTTTTGAAGATTTTTAGAAACCTGTAATTTTACTTGTACTTATTAACTTGTGCAATTTACTTTACTACAGTTTACATTGCTTCTGCTACAGTTGCCTCTGGGGTGGGGTAATACAGCTTTAACTTATCCAGTGACACAAAGAACTTTGTTTTATAGCAGGTGCAAACTTGGGAAGTTTGGACAACTGTAAAGACTTTACAGTTTGGTATTCTGCACAGAAATAAGAAAGTTTGGAAATGACAAATACAAACCCAACAAAAATTAGCTGTGTGTTTTTAATTAGAAATGACCAGTGCAGCCTCAATTTGATGAATTTAGCTGGTGCCACTTAACATTCAGATTCTTGGGATGCTTTTCTTTTTGTTGCCAGTCTGTTTTATATCATGCTTACTTTTTAACTGTAGTTATTTCATGGTTATTTAATTTAACTTTTCTTAATGCACTTCATTTTGTATAATTTTTTAAATTCCATTTCACAGTATTTATGCAGTTTATTTCATGTCTTAATTCAATGTATTAATGCACTTTATTTTATAAATGCCATCGTACATGCTCTCACCCTGTCTGCATTTCCTAGGAAATGTTCCAGAGGACAGACTATCTGCACCTCACCAACCACGCAGTCTTAAAAAGTAGTTAAATAATTTTTACTCAAAGTACATTCACCCATTTCCTTTTGTAATTTTTGTGCATATAACTCTGAACAACAGTACAGTGAATTCAGTGGGGATATTACTTAATGATCTGCTGAAGTTTCTCTATTTTTAAGAAATGCAAAAGGCCATCAGTGTCTGCGACCCAGTGGATATTTCTCAAGAAAGATCAATCAGAGACCTACAGCTAAATTAAAAGGTGTAGGTGTGGTACAGCAATTAGTAATAAAGAGTGGCAGGCTGACAATTATGGAAAACATAATGATAAAAAGTAACATTAACTAATAACAATACCTATCATAATATTTATGCATAAACCTTTTCCTGTTTCTCCTCACCCTGCTGTAGCCTTCCATCAGCAGCTGCAGCCCCACCAGGGAAAATGGTTTTGACATAGATTCCCATTGGTCCATACATGCTGTCCCTCCCTCCAACTATACTGAAGCCCAGACTCTGGGAACAGCAACAGAAACATTATTCATAGCATCAGCACTAATTAACATGTTACAACAGCACTATAAAGGCAAAAAAACTGACAAAAGATGGGCACACCACATTATGCTCTGAGTAGTTTGATTCAGCAGCAAAGTTTCAAACTAAAAAAGATTTTCATTTGGAATTGTCAAACAGGCATCACAGTGAACACACATATATAGACACGTACAAATACACTACAGGTGTTGTCAGGCCGGCCACTGCCTCTCTTCCACCTTTCTCTCCTCTGTTTTCTCGACCTGCGGGATTCTGCACCTCAGCTGTGTCGCACTCGGAAATTAGCGACTCCTTTGTCGGTGCACACAGCTGGGGTGCATCCCGCTGATTGAGTCCCTCCTTATTTATACCTCTGGCAGACGCTCCGCCATTGCTGGAGCATTGCCACCTGTACTTGTACTTAGTGTATACCCAAAACACGTGATTTTGATTTCTACGCTGACAGTTTCTGTGCTGTAGATTTCATTATGTACGTGGTTTTTCTTTTTGTGTTTGATTTATGGAGACTCCCCTGCTGACAGTTCCTGTGCGGTGGATCTCGTGGTGTGTTTTGTGTTTGGGTGTGGCAAAGCGGCATTAGACAATTTTTCCACTGACAGTCCCTGTGCAGTTGTTTTTCATTTGTCGTTCGCCACTCTTTTTGGTTTTTTTTTCGCCTGTCCGTCCTCATTTTCCTGCCCTCTTGGTTTTTTTTCCTCGTCAGTCCCTGGACTCACCTGTTTGTTCCCGTTTTTCTCCAGTCATCTCCACCCATCCTGGACTGCATAAGTAAACTTGGACTTTGTTATGCTCTGTTGTTACTTTGTGTTCTTTTACTGGTAAACCGTCGTTTTTTTCCCCCCTAGCACCTGGGTCAGCAATCTTGAGTCCAACCACAGTTCTTCCTCACCCTCCTGGTGAGGGGGACTACCATAACATGACCATTTGGAAGTCTGCTTTAGGCTGGCTACCAGCAGCTACTGCGTTTCAAGAAGGAGGTTTAACAAACTCAGAGTTCAAACCTGAACTCTGAGTTGACTTACACAGAGTTGGAAAACTTGGAGTTTTCGGTTCCAGAACAGCTGAAAAGAGTTGGTTTAATCAACTCTGAGTAGGTTGACTCAGAGTTAGGCGCGTGCAGCGCGACTATGAAAGGCCCTGAACAATGGAGTGAAGACATTATGAGTCACCATGGCAACAGGACCAAGCAAAAACAGGTCTGCGTTTTTTCCCCGACAGAAATGGATGTGCTACTACAAGCAAATAGTGACTACGAGCCCATATTTCGTAAAAAAAAAAAGCAACAC